CCCCAGCTGTCCTGTAAGGACCATATTACAGGTTTCCCAACCAGAAGGGGCATCATCTAACGTAACGGGTCTGAGGATATAAGCTGTGCCCCAGTGGGGCAGGCAAGAGAAGGACCTGACCCTAGGCTCAGGGTACTCTGTCTAGTAACTGCCCCACCCTGCCCTGCCCTGCCCAGCAGGACAGTAGGGGACAGAGTCCTCAGGTATTAGGCTTCCAGATCCCCACCCCAGCCACACCTTACTGGGCTCGGGTTCAGAGGCTGGGTGAACTTAGAGGGGGCAGCAGTGAGCCCCTCCCCCAGCCGAGGCAAGGCTCCCTGGGGTCAGGCCCTTCCCCCAGATTGTCCCTAGGTAGAGATAAGGTCCAGGGGTCAAAGGCTGGAGAGGCAACCAGCAGGGAGGAGCAAAACTGGAAACCATAGCCCTTCCCCAACCCTCACTGGGGCCACAGCTCAGGATACTGCCCTAACTTCCACCTGACCCAAGAGGCCTGCCAGGTGGTGGCTAGGCCACCTGGCTTGGGGGAAAGTCCCATCTTTCTTTCCTCTTTGTCTCCTGGGGCTTTGGCCACTTCCTGGAGAATCTCCCTGGAGGGCTGGTGGTGGGGAGCATGACTCAGCAAGCAGCTCCTACAGCCTCCTATCCTGGGCCTAAAGACCACAGCCCAGAGCCTAGCAAGAGCCCTCCTTCCGGGACCAGCTCCAGCCACGAGGCTCTGGGGGTTGTACCTGCTGTCCAAACTGGGGGACTTGGATGCGATGGTGGGTGGGCATGGGGGGCATTCAGGTGCAAACATCTGGGATAGGGCGCAGGCCTCACCTGATAGCATCTAAAGTGCATCTCTGCCCCAGATTCCTGGCTTGCAGACAGCCCTCGGGTCACAGCAGGGAATGCCGGGGGACCTTTAGGGGAAAGAGAGTGGGGTGGCCCTGCATGCAGCTCTGAGCAGGAGCTCAGGGGAATGGAAGGGATGCCCAAGCTGCCCACCCAAGGGAAGGGGCCCAGCCCTCACACCCAGCAGGCAGTGGCCCAGCTCCTGGCTGTTGGGGAGGATCTGCCACCGGAATGGTTAACCAGGGTACTTCTAGCAGCCAATCACAGAGGTTTGCAGGAAATATCTGGGAGAGGTCTTGGAGCCTGGGCCAGACAGATCAAACCCAGCCCTAATCTGGACACAGCAACCCACAGCTGACCTAGACGACCTCCACACAGCGCAGAGTACTCCGGGATCCCAGCATGGCGATTCTTGTTCGTCTCACATGGGGGCTGCTGCTAGCCATCCTGGTAGTGCCAGTGACGGTGACGGTGACCCAGCCCACCCATCTGCTGAGCTCGCTCACCTCAGGCCAGGACACTGTGGATGTGGAGGCACTGAGCAGCCTGTTAAATACGCTGGCGGACCGTGTGCACTGCACCAACGGGCCGTGTGGAAAGGTAACAGCCCCACCCGACGGATCCCCCAGCCCCGGCCTCTTCCTGCCCGCTCCACCCTGTAGCCGGCAGCAAAGGGATCTGGACAAATTCCAGGAGGCGGGCCAAGGCCAGAGGCTGAGCCTACCCACAGGCCAGAGCCTCCCCTCTCCTACGGGGGTGCATTCAGTCCTCCCCGGCACACAGCTTCTCTTCTTCCCTGGGCTCACAAGTTGACAGTGGCTCCAGGAAGAAACCACACCAAGACAGGAGATTAAGTGCTGGGGACCCCCTGTGTGTACCCCCAGCTGGGCTAGATGAGCAGGCGAAGGGCAAGAGAGAGGGAAAGGTGGGAGGGAGGTGACGGGACTTACCTGGCCTGCCCCTCTCCTCTCTGGGGGGGCTCAGCCTACCTCCTGCCTACTTGCCTCTGACCACAGTGCCTGTCTGTGGAGGATGCCTTGGCTCTGGGCAGACCAGACGAGACAGAGCTCACCCCAGCAACAGTCCTGCAATCCAGATTCATCGTGCGGCTCAGCGCCGCCCTGGCCCTCTACCTTAGCGACCCAGAGGGCACATGTGCGGACATCCAGGCTGGCCGCTGGGCCTCCCGTGCTGACCACTTCCTGGCCCAGCTTGAAAGTCCTGAGGCCATGACCCTGGCCCTGAAACAGCTGCTCCAGAGGATCGAGGCCCAGACTGTCGGGCAGCGCACTGGGAAGGAGGTAAGGGCCCAGGCCAGCCAGCGGGGGCAGTGGGGGAGGGTCCAAGGGTCATGGAAGAAGCCCATGGAGTGCGGGCTTGGCTGCAGCGGGGAAACGGCCCACCACACAGTCTCCAGGTTATTCTGAGACACATTTGGGAGGCTGGAGTGGGCTAGGGGATCACAGGTGGGTGTTTACTAGTGAGTGGGGCAGGGACTGTAAGAGACAGGGTAGGGAAGGGGAGGCACAGGCTGGGAGGTGCAGAGTTTGGGAGTGTGAGCGGGGGGCCAGGAGCAGGCAGCCGTGTACTAGGATGGATGGTGTACAACGGTGGAGCTGGAAGCCAGAAGTTCACACAGGGTGGGACTGAAGTCTAGCTTTTCCCCAGACCTGTGTAGAAGTTCCTCAGCTGCTGCAAGAGGTGGTGAGAGCAGGGGCTCCCAGCAGACCTGGGCCAGTCCTGGCCGCCCTTTTGGACCATGTCAAGAGCGGGACCTGCTTCCACGCCCTGCCAAGTCCCCAATACTTTGTGGACTTCGTGTTTCGGCAGTACAGCAGTGAGGGATCCAATCTGACCCTGGCTGGTGAGACCCCGCAGCCTCCAGACCCTTTGGTGGGGGGCAGGCTGGAGCCAACAGACTATGCACTGATGCTGTCCTTCCTCCCAGAGCTGGAAGCTTTGATGCAGCGCCTGGGGGTGGGTGGAGAGGCCCATGGCGATCACGATGACCATGGCGACCACGATGACCATGGCGACCACGATGACCATGGTGACCACGATGATCACGGTGGCCACGATGACCATGGTGACCATGATGACCACAGTCATCTGGGAAGAGAGGCCAATCACCAGGACCCTGTGCCCCTTGATGCCCTCAACAACAGCTCAAGTGTGTGGGACACGGTGAGCCACCCATACAGTCCTGGAGGAAGATGGGGTCCTCTGTAAATTCTGCTCAGGCACCTGATCCCTGTCCTGCCCTCCCCCTAGGTATGCCTGAGTGCCAAGGACGTGATGGCTGTGTATGGGCTGTCTGAGGAGGCTGGAGTGAGCCCTGAGGCTTGGGCTCAAATTAGCCCTGCCCTGCTCCAACAGCAGCTGAGTGAGGCGTGCAACCACCACCACAGTTCCCCAGCCCAAGACCAGCTCAGCCAGGCAGAGAGTGAGTGCTCACTTTGCACCATGTCTACCTGCTCATGTCCCAGGGTGTGGGCCTTGTGGGGATGGGGGCCGGGCAGGGGAGGAGGGTGGGAAGGTAGAAAAAAGGTGAGGCAGGTGGGTATGGAGGTACACACCCATAATCCCCACAACTCAGGAGGCTAAGAAAAGAGGATTACAAGTTTTAGCTCAGCCTGGGTGACTTGGTAAGTCCCTGTCTCAAAATTAAAAAGGGGCGGGGAGTGGTGGCCCATGCCTGTAATCCCAGCACTTGGGAAGCTGAGGCAGGAGGATCCTTGCAAGTTTGAGACCAGCCTGGGATACAAAATTAACGCAAGACCAGCCTGAACTGCATAAGGAGACCCTGTCTCAAAAGACAAAAAAG